GCAAATAGTATATAGCTTTTTAACCCTTTAACCCCTTAGAATGACTGGCATCTAATTTCTCCTCACCATATTACTCCTGAATCAAACATTAAGGTCAGGAGAATTAAGGAACTGATTACCGACGAAAGAGGTTCTTGATTGTTTGACAAATTTTTCATGTCTGCATCTTAGAGAACAGTATGGAGAATATGCATACTGATGTTAGAGTGTAAAGGGTTAAATAAAAGACAACGAAGATAATTGAATTCAATCTCGAACTCGATTAGCATTTACCTTTAAGCCCTAAGAATAATTTCGAAAATTCATTTCTCGCTACGATATTCTCTTCTGTCACTCGCAAAGACTTGTTTGGGAAATCTAAACCGCGTAGGGAATAATTCTGCGCAAATAGCTTACATACTTCCCTACCAACATCAATCTGTATCATAAACGAACGTTGAGTCAGTTATAATGAAGACTTACCCCGGCACTAAATCCAAGTCAACCGCCCTCCGTGCGATATGTGTAGCAGCCTTTTGTACGTCAGGTGGAAGACCAAGATTGGAACAAAACCTCGACTAGCAAAGATCACAAGCCGAGAAAAATTAATTAACTAGGGACGTGCACCGTAGTTTGTTATGAGAGTTTATTTCATTTTCAACGCCTAATATTGAATTTCTAGTGTTCTGATTGGTGCAATCAACCTGGTTATCAGCTCATATACCGAGTCATCTCATATTGAAATGCTGTTGCGGAGCTGAAAAAAGCTTCAAACATCCAAACGTTCGAGATTTGATGAAATTTAATAAAAAATGTCGTTCCATTCACACTTGCTGGATACGAGATTGATAACAGCCAATTTACCATCTCATCTCCAACACGCGCTCATGGAAAAATTGTTAAATAGGCAGAAGGAGCGCGTTGATTGGCTGATCAGTGAGCTTACACTAAACTGAGTGGAGGTCTATCTCATTCAAGGAGGAGATAAAGAGAAAAGGAAGAGGGAAGTTTTGACAGACTGACTGTAACGCAGCTCCGTCAATACTTGTTTTGTCTTACATATTTCTTGGAGAACGGGGATGACAGAAATCCTAAAGAGAATTCAGTTTCTTAAGGTAGGTGAGTCAAGGTTCGTTACATAACCTTGCCTTTCTGAAGGCAATTTTTTCGAAACTAATTTTTTTTTCCTTTTCTGAGGTCAGGGTTATGAGTAAAAACACGTGGAAGGACTTCCTCCATGTTCTCAAGGTGTTTAAACTCACCATAAAATCTGCTGTTGTTATGAGGTCCACACTTGTCTCCAGGGCCTTAAGTATCAGTTTGAAACAACGGCCAATTTCTTTTTTCGAAATTTTGCTGATAGCGCAAATTTCTGTGGAATACAAATTTTCGATTTGTCGTTAAAAAAATCATTTGCGAATGAGCAACTTGTGTGGACAGACAGGGGGGTAGCTATGATTATTCAAAGGGAGGATCACACTGTGTTAAACAGAGGGTACTCAGCAGTTTTTGCCGCCTGAATATTGCGGGTTGTATGCTTAAAAAAGCTTACAAACGGGAGAGGTGGGGGTTACGGGCACCCCAGACTTCCCTAGCTACACCCTTGTCCCTTGTATAAGCTTCTACTTTCAATTTGGAAAGTTAACAAAAAGTAATTATCATTTAGACTGCTATCACTATGTTCACTATATCACAAGGAAGCGAAATCTTGTTAATTATACATTTGACTCTGACAATTACTTGTTAAATCAAACAATATTCCCAGGTTAATTCTTTAAGCCTCGTGACATTTTTGCTTGAGAATGTATCGATGTATCGATGCTGTTAGAGAAAATCCATTTTAGTCAATCCAGGCTGATACATACAGACTAATCGTTTTACCTTTAAATGTCCTAGGCACACCCTCTTGTCGACAGGCAATGTACAAACAAGCAGAAGCAATGGCATCATTACTTCTCCCTTTTAAACTCTTTTGTTCATGAACTTGTTTAAACAATTGATTTGCCCGATCCTAAGGAACAAGAGAAATCAGCAATAAATTACTTTCTTTAATTGAGAGTTAGGAATGAAACCATTTCAAATGGGACACAAATAAACCTTTCTACAAAAGCCACTTAATATAATGATCAGAACTTAAAAAACTCTTGGATCAATATCAGTATATGGGCAATTGCCCACCTACCCCTCCCCTAACCCAACAACAGTCAATTGATAACAAGTTAGGGTTAATATTGGATTAGGGGAAGGGTAGGTGGGCAGTTGCCCAGATACTGATATTGATCCAAACTCTCAAGTTTGAGAAAATAATTTTTCCAGTATATAGGTCAAACATCATCTTCTGATTGGAATTTGCCTGCACTAACAGGTATGTTAAGAATGATAAATTAAGAATTTTCAAGAAAATGAGGAAGTCACAGCCACTCTTGAACCTTTTCAAGCAACTCTCTTGATTCATTGGCTTTCTTGAAAGGAACCTGTGGAGCCTGTTCCAAGCACTCCATGACAAAATGGCAGTATTATGGTATGAGAAGGCAACTTGAAATTAAACTTGGAAAAATGGAGTGGGCAATAAGAAGAGCCACAGAAAAGAATGCTCTTTTCTTTTACACATCATTACCTGTCACTCCACAAGTACCATTGTGCTGCTGCTTAATAGCTGAATTACTGGAGGAGAAATTTTTATATGCTAGGGGCCTTACTTTTGGACTACTGGTAAACTGTCAGCACCTTAATCTGAAATATCCCACTGATTGATTTGATTGACTTGTTTTGAACAAAATCGCTTACCACTATTTTCCTGGGTAGATTTATCCTGTCAGCCATGATACCAATTTCTCTAAAAGCATTCATGAGACTTCTGTCCGAACCAGTCAACTAAGTTTTATGAATGAGGAGAAGAAAGAAATGAAAAAATGTTAAAGGGCCATACTGAATTCATGAAGCTTCTACAGTCCTTAACTGTTTGATTGGACCTTGATGATGGTATGGCAAGGATGAATTAACATTGCCCTGTAATTTCAAACAGAACTCACCCCGCCTCTATTGTGATATTTGGAGTATCCATCTGTTTCACTGTTTCCCACTGGGACTCTTTCAATGATTGTTGACAGATCTCCTCCACCTAATAATGGATTCTAAAAAATAGAAATTTACCATGTATGAGATATTTTCATTAAAGATCAAGGTAAACCTGGTATTACATGGGTTTTGCTTTACTTTGCCGCATGATTTGTCTAGCAAACTTGTACCACCATTTCAATTATTCAGAAGCAAAACTAAAGCATATCATGACTTGCTCTTTTACATTTTCTTGCCCTTCAGGCAGTTAGCTTATTTTCATTTGGGGTTCTCATAGGCTCCTTTTGAAATTTCTTTCCCTCTCATTGCCAAAATATCAATTGTATCAACAATATGGCTTCTAACCCTAACTTTATACTGAATAATTTTTCATCACCCACTCATAATGCAAGACATTAAACTACAGACTGTCTGTCAAAATGTAGAACTCTTGCTGCTTTGCAGTCTCCAAAAAAGAGTCCAATCATGAGCCATTCCCGTGGATTATGATCTATAGCTTAAAAGCTATGCTTGCACCAATCAAATTTGAAAATGGTCTTTAGCATACCAGCAACAAATAGTGTAAAAGTAATTTCCCAATCAAAAAACCATCCTACTATCATTCTCATTATAATATGCTGTCTTACCTGTGCTGCTCCAACACGAGAGGGATCACTGGTAGCCTTCTCATTACTAAATGTTCGCCATTCTGAGCCAACATCAACCACTCTACATAAAAGGAGAAAAAAAAGCCAAAATAATAGTTAAACTAAAATTATTTTAGCCCAGTTAATGTATACATCCCTTTGTTATAAGCACAGTTTTGACCTCCTGTAAAACCACAAAGTATGAGAGACAATTGGAATAAATGGAATGATGCAGTTTATTATGTTGATAAGATGCCTCACTTTCATCATAATCACAAACAAATTTTGAAAAATTTGTAATAAAATAATGAAAGATTTTTTTGATATCTCAGTGCATTTAAATATTTTTCTGCACTATAAATCAGCTGACTAAGAGAAGCTAACATGCACAGGATCACCAAGGCATAAGTTGCTAGCATGCTTTGATGAAATGAAGGAAAACAAAGGGGGAGGGGTATTCTTTAGATTCAGTGTGATGTGATTGAATGGTATCAGCCTCTGTTGCTTTGAAACACAATATTCCAATATAAAATATCCCTCTCTCAATTTAATTTGCTGTAACTTCCTTGTATAGCAGATGACGTCAGCATAACACCAGATCACATGCTGATGCGCTGGGAATTCTCTCGAATCGATATTAACCGCTTTGCAGAGTTTTACTTTAGTCACAACAACCATGTTTTATTACTTGGAGGAAACATTAAAACGTTTCTGATTACATAAAAAGATACACATGAAAGCAAGAAATAGCAACGACATGAAGGAACAGATTTCGAAGTAGGAGTGTTTCCTAAACTGATCCGATAAGAAGACACGTTAACTCAAAATTATCAGCGAAGGTTCTATCATTCCTTTCGCTCAATCGCTTTGAGAAATAAAGGAAGCATTAAGGAATCTACGGCTCTCTTAGAGAGTAACAAAAAAGTAGGTATGACGACAGTTATTGATTTTATCATATTTTTAAGCTTACCGATCTCCGACAACAAGACCGCATTCAGAGCAAATCATATCTCCCGCTCGATAATCTTCGATCAACGGAGCCTCTGGATGATGAGAACATTTTATCGTCTGAGAGCTGAAACGCGAGCGAAATAAAATTAAAATTATGAAGCAAGTCCACTGCCGTAAAACAAACCACGCAGAAGCGGGATAAAATCATTTAAATTGCTTATAATCAAGAGAGGGCCTGACTAACCTACTAGCCATCGCTCTCGTGTCAATACAAAACTCTAGCTGAGGTACCGCGCAATTTATACATTTTCTTACCGGATGTGACGTAATGGAGGAAGCCGATATGCTATTTTTGGTGGTCAGTTTTTAAGCGATCCCGTGTACCTCGAGGAACCTGCTTTGTTGATGGAGATTCGCTGACGATGGCTCAAAATCGGTTGTCGAATGTGACGGTGGAACAAGTTAAAGGTGACATAATCATTTAACTATATTTTGGTTTTATCAGTACAATCTTTCAAAGCTGTAAATGAGATGTCTTGCTAAATACGGCCTCTGATCGGCTCGTTAAGTCATTTTGCTTTGTTTACGTCCCTGTTAGCTATGTAAACTACTTCACATAGTGATCGGAAACGCTTAGAATGGTGTCAGCAGGTTATGATTTTTTTCTATTTGAGCGCTAAGTTAAAACATTCATGATCACATGTTCCAAAACCGAGCGAAATCGTGCAGGTAGGAAACAGAGCCTGAGGACTAATTATATGCTAAGAGGGTAAAGTTTCCGCACAGCCCCATAATATTGTAAAACAAATCTGTTTTCCCAAGGGCAATGTATTGTTTTTGTCGTTGTTTTCTCTATTCAAGAACTGAATACATAATGTGGTATGAGGCTATACTTCCACTCAGTCTCCCACTTCCAAAGCACTGTTCCCTTTGGTAAAAGGGGATACCGATGAGTGTTTAGGTATCATTATCCTAAACAATTGTGTTATCCATATTATTCAGCTGCTATGAAAGAAATTTTAGAAGCATTTGACAAGCCACAAAACAAAGCTAAAATGCAAGAAATTGAACAGGAGGCTAATAGTGATTTGGTAAAGCTACTTCAAGAACGACTGCCATTTGCTGCAGAGATTCAGAAAGAGGTGATTAAGTGTCATGGCTTCTCTGATGATGGAGATCAAGGTAACTCTGTAGTAGCTTCCTGGGAAATGGGTAGTGGCAGAAATGGAAAAGAAAAAAAAAGGCACTTTCCTCTGTTACCCTTTAGTCACTTGGTCCATTTCCACCCTTACCTCCTAATCACCAGAAATGACATTCACTAGATTGTCTTCAGAGAAAATTTTTTTTGTTAAGAAAAACTGCCAGCCAGGTCAATTAATCCTGAATCTTAAGCACTAATCTACAGGAAGTGCAAATTAAAGTTTGGGAACTATTAAAGTTGCTCTGCATAGAACCATAGTATTTATGTGCATTTTGTGCTAGAAATCAAACATTGAGTGGTTGATTGGAATAGATATAGATACATATTTAAAATAAGTCAACTAAGTGGTCTATTGATTTGTTTCTGCTTTAGGTTCTCTGACATTTACTCATGCTATCAAGTTGTTTGAAAAAGAGGATGAAGAAATTGCCTCCATGGCAGCTGATCTGAAGATGAAGTTCATCCCACCCCTTCCACACCCCCCTCTTTTTGTTCCTAGGGATGTCACATGACAAACTTCAAACCTCTCATTGTAGAATATTCTTTTATTACAATCAAATGGACTACTCATTTGAAGAAATGTCACTGGGTCAAGGTGTTTCATGTCTGTTGTTAGTTTAGGTATGGTACAAGCCATTTTTGAACATGAAATCCAGTTACATCTATAGTTTCAAATTATGTGTATTCAATAGAATTATAAAAGTAACCTTTGGTGTTGTGACTTCACTGTTTAAAAAGCATAAAAGTGACAACTGCCTGAAATGAGCTGCAGTTTGACTTTAGCTTGATATAGGCCAAGCATACAGGAGTCATTGCTACAAAGCCTTTTCTCCCCAAGGAGTGACAAAAAAGGAATTTTTCCAGACAAGATCAATTCATGTTCAAGCAGAGAGGTGATGAGAAACTAAAATATCAACTATCAGATGTTGTTTAAAACTCAGAGCCAAAATTTGAAGGAATGGTGAAAGGGTTAACCATGCAAACTTGTAATGACCATTGAATTCACAACTTGAATTAATAAAAGAGTGCTTTAGCCAGTGAACTGGGATTGGTCTAAGATCTCTGCCAAGAGTTGTTAAAACATGATGAAAAAACAATAAAACAAAACAAAATGCTTGAACTACCACTAAGTACATTTATGTATAGATAAACAGATAGGGTAAATGCCCTGCCTGAGATGTGTTTCATTATCAGTGTATAAACAATAGCCTCTTTTTGAAGCAAAAAATATGCATGGATATTTGTCCATGAACATTATGTGTTCCAAGATGCAAAATATGTTCGGAGAGAGAAGCTAGAGGAAAACTGTGAGCTTCAAAGAACAGATAATGTCCAAGGACAAATTAATATATGAGCATATTTTTGCACCAAATATAGGCTAATGTGTGTTCATTATCCTTCAAATATTTTGTAACCCAAATGAAAAATGTTTACAAACAGCTTACTGTTTTGCTGCATGGGATGTTTCTTCTAAGTGTTTTCTGGTACAACTTTATGAACAAATAAATGTTTCCCTTTTTCTGTAACACATCATGAATTAAATTTTAAACAAAGACTTATCATAGTGGACGTAAGGTTTAAAAATTGGGGAATATCACCTGAATGATGACCTCGGATATCCCCCAGTTTTAGCTGGTGAATATTTCTGGTCAAATGATGTGTTTAGACTAATGCATGTGAGCAAAAATATTCAATGAGTCATAAATAAAGTTACAAGTAACATGATATTGAAAAATCAGACAATATCAAGAAACAAAATGTAATGTAACTTGTAAGGAATATCTTTATTTGCACAATGTGTCCATTGGTAAGATTAGGTTCTTTACTTAAAATATACATATATTAAAAAATGAATACAAGTATCTTGCTATTTGCAAGAAAATATTATTTTCATATGTATCAGAAAGAATAACCACAGCATTCTTAAGTTTTAATATCAATAGTTTGTAAAATATTCTTGCAACTTTTTTATCACCAAAAATAACATTCTATTATAATTAAATGAAAACCACCAATTATGCTGTTTTTTTTCCTCCATAATTTAGTTGGTGTGATTCTCTGATAACATAAATAAGTAATGGGCCTTTTCAGATAAATTGAAATGTCGTCTTTCTTGGTTTTAGCCAATATGTGATTGGTTGTCTACAGCACCTATGATCCTGATGCAAATTATATAAGTTTTTCATTCATTGTTAAATATTCCATAATGCGCTATTAATAGTAAAATGAAACCAGTTATTAAATGCATACAAACTGAATCAAAATGAATTTGATATATAAAATAATCATATTAAGTTGATATCATTTAATGTATATTCTGCAAAATAGTAAATAAGAGTTTCAACACCTGTGTAATAACAGCTTTGTAGAAAATTAACTGTAGAATTACTTATTGTTGATTCATATTTCCCTTGAAGGAGAGCATTCAGTCTAGTATTTGGTCACCCTATTGGTGTCATCTGGTTGATTCCAGTGTATTGTCATCATGCAAGTATTCTCTCACAAGCATAATGCATTGTTCGTAGGTACAGAAAATGAGTGCCACAGACAAACCAGCCTGGAATAGAACAAACAAGTTATTTTGTTGTAAGGTAGAGTTTGCCTAGGAACTTAGTACCCTTTCTGGCTAGAGTCAACCCTTTACACCCCAAGATCAGTATGTGTATTCTCCATACTGTACTCTATACATTACATAAGGTGTGACAAGTAGAATTTGTTTAATAGTCAGGAGTGGCTCTAGTAAGCCATCATTTCCTTCAAGTTTGATTCAGGGGTGATATTATAAGGAGAAATTAAAAGCTAGTACAGGGCGTGAAATTGTGCCTAATACAGGCGCCAATGCGCCTAAATTTTTCACTTTGGCGACCAAATCCTGAAAGTTAGTCGCCAAATTGGCGACTAGAACGTTTCATCATAATCTTACCAAGAGATATAGTGAATTAAATAGATTTGCAAAGATAAATCCACGGCAAACTTCCTCGTTAAGTTTGTTTCCAAAATGTAGCACATGCATCTCGATCGATAACTAGACACCATCTTGGATTTAGATGAGCCTGAACGTTGTATATCATCCATCCTAGTGTCCACTTTGTAACACATTAAAGATCTTTTCCCTAACTTAATTTTGGAAGGTCTATCTAGAACGCTGACAGTGTAAAGAAAGATTTTGTTTGTCTTTGAAAATGGTGACCAACTTTTTTTGAATTGGCTACCACTTTGAAGAATTTAGGAGCCAAGTGGCTATCAGAAAAAAAAGTTAATTTCACGCCCTGAGCTAGTCACTCTTAGGGGTCTAAGAGTTAACCCTTTAACTCCCAAAAGTGAACAAGACAGAATTTCTCCTCACAATATCAGTACAATATCAAGCAGACAAGTGATGAGAATAAAGAAAAATATCAGTTAGAGGATTATCAGCTGATCTAACACCAATTTCTCAAAACTAACATCACAAGAACTGTATGGCAGACAGTAAGGAGAATTACTAATGAGATCTTGGGAGTTTAAGAGTTAATTATGGTTTGCTTAGCATGAAGCAACTGGTGGTATTTTACTTCTCCTGGTGGTATGCTAATCCACCACAAGTTACCCTTCAGCATTTCCACAAGCCTTGCTGTTAATTTGCTGCAACCCAGTCATTCTCCTGGATGGAGAGAGGTCCCATGTGAGTAAAGAGATAATGGCTGCATCCTTCTCACCTTTAGTGTACTTGGGGCCAGTCCTTTGAAAAAACCAAAAGCACCTTCTTCCCTAAGAATAATCCTGAAGCAGTCTAACATGCCATTATATTTCTGAACTCTTCCAAATGTCTCTCTTGCTTCTTGAAATCCTTGTATCTTTACCAGTGGAAAAAAAAACAACAAAAGCAAAAATTAAAATTATGAAATATTTATTTCAAAAGAGCAAAATTTACATCAGCTAGAGGGTACAATTACAAAGATCTAAAATCAATCAACCAATTCTTTTCTGTCAAAACAGAAGCTGAGGTTTCTAGAAGATACGATCTGTAAGATAAGGTTTCATCATTCTTAGACCAAATGACAAAATAAGATTTCAAAATAACACAAGATCAAACAAAGTAATTAAAAGCAGTTAACTTTAAAATGTATGCCAGTTTGTGAAAATCTCAATACAAGTTAAAATGAATAAATGCTTTACATAAAGCAATACAAATTAATGTTATAGTATGCTAGAAAACACACCATGAGAGTGACAGGAATTTAAAATTAATAAATCATGAAATGACATGCAAAGGAAATCCTATGATAACTTGTGATTGCATCTACCAAAGAAGCAAGTAGTTTGAGTCACAGTTAGTATTCAGGTAAGATTCAACTGGCATGGCATCCTACAGATTTTGTAAGTCGCTAGCCCAACACCTTTAGTAAATGAAGGTTTTGGGTTAACGGCAAACAAACACTGTACCCAACATTCCCACAAGTTTCCATACAACATGTACATGTAAACAGAAATAAATAAAGGAGGTAAGTTTGAAAAAGTGATTAACATCTCCCTATGACATCTGTACACTATTCAGCAAACAGGTAATGAGAATATTGAAACTTATCAGATAGAAGTTGTTGTCTTGATCTACAGTGTAACACCAAATTCTTGTAACTTATTTACAAGGAAATGCGTAGATGCTAGATGGGAGAATTAACTATTAGATCTTGGGAGTAAAAGGGTTAGGAAACTACAGTGCTGCAATATTGGTGGGGGGATTAAAATTTACATCATAAACTCATCTGATAAAACCAAATTGAAATTCAACCAAAGTCACCCATACTTCTAAAATGTTCTAGCATTAATTAAAGTTGAGTATTTACATCACCACACCTGTAATCTCTTTTTCACCATATCTAGAGGATAAATAGTCCCTTTGCTAAAAATTCCTGCTAACGCTCCACAAACAAGACTTTCATTGACCCCTGCAGCTTTGTAAGGATCTTGTCTCTGTAGTAAAACACATATTTTACATCTTAGAAGAACTAATAAACTTCTACCAAACAGAACAATTTGTTAGCTCAAACACTAAACATGAAAGTAATAACTTTCTGTTGGATAGCATTATTTTGAGGGGCACTGTAACACTAATAATAATAATGATCATTTGCATAGAAAATTTTTTTTTTCTACTTGAAGATGCCAAGAAGGAAATATATATAATAATATTAGATATAAATTTGACTTCTTAAATCGTCTGATTATCAAATAATAATTAAAGATGTTCTTTACTTATCAAGCAGCATCTTGGTTCTTAATCCACTGAGCAAATTAACAGCTGGCTGCATGGCTAAAGAGAACACCCCAAATTTTTTTTTTTCAAACTGATTTATTTTGAACATCCCTATTGAGTAAAATTGCAAACTTATAGACAAGACCTGATAGGCTCAGAAAAAACCAAGTATGCATCCATGGAAAATTCTCCACATAACCAATTGTAAACAAGTTGTATTTACCCTAAATAAGCAGAAGTAACATTTGATTGTTGAACATCCAAACACTTCTAATCTACAACAATAACACCAGCATACCTTAACCCCAAATGAGATTTCCCAAAGGGTCTTGAAAAATGAATAAAAGCCAAATTGAAGCCCGGCATGAGGGAAAATCTGCACTAGAGTAGGAACAAGTCCTGAAAAGACAAAGAGAAAGTGTTGATAATTCTATGATGAAAACAACTCGTTTACCTTGATAATGCATGTGGAAATCATTCTGACTGGCAATAGCCAGACACTTTGTTTCCTAGGAATGAAATTATCCTCACAATTCAATACACCATGAAGTAGATTGGTCACAAGATTTAAAAAATGATTTTCATCAAAGAGTTCCTTCCCTTTTTGTAAGCACAAATTCCTAAGAATTAGCAAAAAATAATGTAGGTGTTAATCAGTGTGAAGAATGGGGTAGCAAATACTGAAAGAAGAACAGTAAGGGCCATGCAGTAATACTTTAATATGATCAGATTAGATAGTCCGAGAGTACACCATGTTAGTTTGCATATCTTCCATACTGTTCTACATATGTTACATAGGGTACTGACAAGAAGAATTTGTCTAACAATCAAGAGCATTAGTTGGTGATCATTTCCTTCATTCTTGTCACACTGTTGTGTGATTCTAGGGTGATATTGTGAGGAGATATTACATCCTAGTTGCTATTAAGTGTCAAATTATATTGACTACAACAGTTGTTTACTTGGTGTATATAATATTATTTCATACAGTATACATCACAACATAACCTGTGAGGTTTTTACCTTTATAGAATGATCTGATCCCCTCCTTAGCATACATCTTACTAGCAGCTTGGACAAGATTCTTGTAAACCTATATATTTGGATAAATGAGAGGGTAAATAAGGAGAAAATTAAAATGTTCAAAAGGGTGAAAATGACCACAGGCAAACAGCAAATAGTTGGCCATTATGAAGCTGATTTAAAGGGTGTGATCATGAAGAAAATAGACAAGAAAAAATGAAAATATTTGTTACTTTAGGTTCTCCTTGTGCCACAAGCCTTGTTCGTAAAACATCTAAAGGTTGTGCTACTGTTGATGAAAGACATCCAGCAAGCCCTCCACATACAAAATGTGTCACTGTATTGTAAAAAAAAATAAATAAACAAAGATATGTTCAATTAAACCAGTGCATAGCTTGCTTACCATTGTAGTTGGTAACTTGGAATGACAAACAAACTGATGATGTGATGTAAATTATACCTTTATCATAAGAACGCCTTAGGAATTCTAAGAGTTTTAAGAAAAGCACAAAAAAATTTAACCTGGTTTCCATTTCTGATCTGTACATCTAGGATTTACTCTCCACATAACCTCTGTAATGGCTTCAAAAGCAGTGAACTGGATTAAAAAGAAAAAGAACATCACAATAAACTTTTAGTATTCTTATTTACTAGTAAAAAAACTTGTTAAAGAATATTGGTTAAAGCTAACCTGAAAATATCCATAAACAACTGATAGAGCTTGAGCAGGAACATGCCCTTTCCTGTTACAATTTAAATAGATAACCGTTCACTACTGAATTCATGTATGTTATACAGCAAGTTATACTTGAAGCTGAGAAGACGAGGACTGAACATCTCGCTTAAACGAGACACAGGAGGAAGGTATTTATCAGCAACCTCAGCAAGTGTCTGTTTTCACATGTCACACCTCTTAGTCACTCGTAAAGATGCCGCATCAAATCCAACTAACACTACTCTATCGTCTTTTGAAGACAGACGGATGACTACTATTGTTATAGGGTAATTATTGATATGTTCTTACTTTTCAAACATAGCTCTTCTAAAACTCTATATGCTACTCAATTTTATCCATGGAACATTTCCAAATTAAATTTTTCCTCAGTTACTTTCAGGTGTGTTTAATGTACAATGATGAGTTTGAGACAAAAAAATTATGGCTCAAACCAAGGAGAAAACTGAACCACAACATAAACACAACTAATATTTTTAACTTGAGAATGCATACTGGCAATTTGCTTACCAAAGTGAAGTAAATCCCTCCTCTTTATAAATAAGTTTGAATGCTTGCCATATTCCTGAGTATTTACCTGTGGCTATTTTCTATCACAGAGATAAAACAGAGATAAACATTCATTTTACCGTAGTGACATTCAAAATTCTCAATAAAAATACCCCACCTTACTTCCACAATGCATCCCTTGTTGTCTGACCGCTTACTATGTTGAAAATAACCCATTTTAGCAAGCTACCTATTTCTAGGTTTACTACATAAGTGAAAGACAACGCTGCACACGCCCGATCCGAGAAGCGAAAAATCCCACAGGTAGCCCAAGCTCCAGCCTCTCTTAGGAGTAGGAAACCCAGAAATGGATAACTCGCTTAAGTGGCCTCGTTTCAACATAGTTAACATTCAGACCACAAGCGATGCACTTGGAGGTAAGGCGTGGTATTTTGTTATTGAGAATTTGACCAAAAACCTATGATTGATGTTTAGCGCTTTCGATCTGCCTCGGAACACAAGCGATTTATTATTAGCGCTTTTGATTGAAGTCAAACAACGGCGTTTGGTGCAACAACACAAGCGATTGAGGTTCTGCACTAGCAACTGACCATTTAAGAACGGAAAATAAATTGATTTGCATTTACAATTTATAATTGGCACTAACGATTGAGTATTATCACTGACGATTTAAATTTTTAACACAAATGGTTCCTCATAGGAGCTTGGGCCACTTGTGGTATCACATAGCTGATGGCCTGATGCAACAGGAAGATGAGCTTGCTCAGATCTTTGGTATGGCCACTTTCTTAAAATAAACTAACAGAAACTTACTTAGCCTTCATGAAATAATTCATCACCTTGGATGTAGGTTCAATCTGAAGTTGAAATCGTATTTTAAGGACATCGAACGGTTGAACCACCAGCCGAGTTACCAGCCCAGACACAGAACCACACACTCCATACTGGGTTGAAGATATCTTCTTCTCTTCACGACCTGGATCAAAACCAACCATTTCCTCAGTGAATACATGCTTTGATGACATTTGCGCTCAGATGATAATTGGTAGTAATGCCACGGGAAAGAATAACAATTGTTTCATGGTTATTCAATCGGGTACGCACTGCTGCCTCCGCCATCTTGATCATATCAATCCGAGAAAGACTGAGTTCTAGAGCAATTCCCGCGGGATCTTGAAATTATCACGTGCTGAATTCTTGGTATTTCATTGGTTATTTACTTACGAAGTCAAAGGATCATCTTTCAAAATCAGCGGAATTTAATTTTCGTGATGATCAGCCGATTGTGGTGGTCGCGGTCGTTATTTTGAAACTTGACAGATTATGTTGTTCTGTGGTGGAAATTGCTGATTTTGTGTTTTGCACTTTTTTGTTTGTGCTATAAGCTATGTCTACTCCTACAAAAACAAGAGGGAAGCGTGCGCTTCCAAGCCTTCCTTCTAATAGAGCGGCTAGTTCTGATCGCATGGTTACAACGACGCCGAAATCGTCGAAAGTTATCTCCAAGAAAACAAATTTGGACTCTGCACGCGTTGACGTGACGAAGAACAGAAACTACCCCTCACAGCAGAAGCAAAAGAACGGCACGATTATGAATTCGAAGGCACCATCAACAGAGTTGATTTCAAGAAGGAAGGATCTTTCCTCAAGCGAGAGTGGTTCCAACACAAGTTCTCCTTTAAACTCTCCGCGAGCAACGCGTAAGGCAACTGTGGGGCCGATGGTGGCTGGGATTATAGACAAGTTTTCCAGCACATCACAGACATCAGGGGAAGGAAACGTGGTCAAAGAAGAGACATCAGGGACAATTGGTTCGGAGAAAAAGATCGCCCGTGTTCTGCCAATGACACCCCAGTTTATTGAGGAACACCTGGTTACAAATACAGAAAGTGATCCTTCGTCGACCAAACCGTATGACGATTCTTCTTTGATTATCAATAAACTGCAATCCACGTTGGGGTTGTTGAAAGGCAATGATGGAGGGAAGGGCTTTGAAGACAAAATGGATTCAGGTGTTCCGCCGGCTTTAAAACCATCCATGTCAACAGCACCGCAACAAGTGTCTTCCGCTGATGGCGATGGAGAGGGTTCGAGTGTGAGGGTTGGTGTGAGAGTTCGACCTTTCTTACCAAGGTAATGTGATACTTTTTTTGTGTTAATGCGATAAGAATTGACCATAAGAATTGTCTCGAGCGGGAAACAGTCTGCCATTTAAAAGTTGTTTGTTTGTTTGGTGTTTGGTGAGCGTGTAATGTACAATTACAATATCACATTTAATGTTTATCATGATCACGAACATGTGAAGCAGTTGTTTAAGATTTGGTATTTGTTTTCGCGAAAAAGCTGTTTGGCGACGAAAGTTGGGGGTTTTTCTTTCGATATATGTGCACTGTAGAGAACAATGAAACATGCTTTGCGATATTGTGTGAGTCCCTACTTGTGTGACTTCAGTTTGACCGGATGTTGTTTAGAACGTGTTCGAGTTGCTCTCGAGTTCGGTCGCTTCCTTCGACTTCGTTGTTACTGCACGATCAAAGGTTCTGTAAAGCAGTCAAGAAATCTTGCGTCGTGCCAGTCTTGTTTACAAAATTACATTCTTTCTCAATGACGCGTTAATTAAAAACTCTTTACTTCATTTGTGTCCATCTTGGGTGATCAACTCCATTGTTTCTTTTCAAAAAGACTTAGAGATAATCCCATGTTTAATAAAAGAGGCTTTAAAATGGTTGAGTTAGCTCTCTTGTCTCATTGATCACTATCAACTCATAAGTGTTCTTTTTCCACTTTAGCCAGTTTGAGATCAATATAGTATTCAAACTATGCAACTCAAGAAATGCTCTTGGAATTTGCAAATTCATGCGAACGAATATTACTCTTTCTCTTATCTGAATAAACAAACTAAGTAGAGGTGTCAATCATAGCACAGATGCGACAAATTACAATTGGCAATTAACATTTGTTTGCATTGTGTAATCTGAAAGTGTGGTGATTAGAAAGCAAAAGTTATTTTTAGTTTCAAAGTGAAGTTGCAATGTTATAACTGTATAATGTACTAGGAAAGATATCTGACAAACTGAAAGTGCTAATGTCAGTGTCAGATTCAAGATCTTGCCCTGAATTAATAGCCTTTCTATGAGCTGCAGGAGACTTACAATGACAAATGGCAATGTTTTAATCTTGTGAATTTTCCTTTTTTTAGCCCTGTCTTTAATAAGATGAGTTAAAAACAAAACAAAAAAAAAACCACAATGTATTGATTTTAAGCCCTACCCTCATATTAACATCTCCAAGGTCTAGTTCATTCAAGCCCTTTCTGCATGGATTACTTCATTTTTTTTGGAGTCATTGCCTCACCACCCTATTCTTCTCACAAATATTTAACTTGTTTTCATAAATAAAAGTTAGCTAGCTTGGTTTCAGAGATCAAAGTAATTTCTGTGATTCAAATTTTGTTAACAAGTTACAAATTTCCCTTGTATTAAACCACCTACCAGTATATCCAAGAACTGAACCTCAAAGATCATGTCTCATACATCTTGATGATAAGTTTTCCTTGTGAGCAGTAACCAGGCTTAAATATTAGTTCATCAGTGGAAGAGAAATGGTTGCTAACTTGCAGAAAATTGTACCAGGGTGCAATAATAGCTATCAGTTTCCTGAATAGCTTTCTGAACCTCTGTCTTTAATACTCATTGAGTTTTAGTCAAATTATTTGTGTGATACAGCTTGTATTTGGTGTACAGTCTTATGAGTTACTTCCTTCAAAGTGATACATTCTTTTTTATTATCCACAGAGAAGAGAAGGACCCAAACGTGAAGCTGTGTATCTCTATGAAGGATCATGAAACTATTATCACTTCAGATGCTGGTATGGAATATCAGTTTAATTACGATTATTCCATTTGGTCATTTGATCCTAAAGACCCTAACTATGTTGACCAAGAGAAGCTTTACAAGTTGATGGGACAGCCTCTTCTAAACAGTGCTTTTGAGGGATATAACACCTGTCTTTTTGCCTATGGTCAGGTATGTAAATGTAAACTCATGCGTGAGGGACTGGCATGTAATTTCTCCCCGCAGTATCACCATGGAAACAAATTTTTAAAGGTCATGAGAACAAAGACACTCTTGATTAGTAAACAAATTCACTGTACCAGTGTCGCAGGAAGTATGTAGAGAAGGTGTAAGGAAGATGAATTATTGATGTGAGGATATAGAGGATTAAAATTTTTACAGAAAATGATTATCCTATATCTGTAGTTATAGAATACACTCAGGATTAATCAAAAGGTGTTGGTTACCTTTTCAAATTACATTCCACCTTAATATCACTTATTATGAGTTCGCACCACCTATGAGATGACTACTCAGCTAAGATTAACTATACTTACATCTGATAATTAAATTATATCAAAATAATTGAGATGGGAATCAATCATACTGTACTGAAAGTAAGCTTTAAAATACTTTGAAGACACCCTTGTTACTTGATAAGATTTGATGATGATTAAAAATATTTTTATAGGTAATCATTTGTCTCCTGACATAATCACTTCCAAAGTGGAGTGTCACATTTTGGAGTATGACAATTTGTTACTGCTGGTCTTCCTCTTGCCACGAGGTTGCCTCTTCTCATGTCACCTGATATAACAATATTCTGAGCTGTGATTCAATAACCTGTAAAGCTCTGACTTTTGTAAACATTGAATTTAATTTCACTCATATTTTCCTCCTTACAGACAGGATCAGGGAAGTCTTATAGGTGAGTCTTGAACATTAATAGATTCTTGTGTCTCCCCTTATAAAGCTACTGGTAGCTGCTAAATGAAATGCATGGGTATATGTATCTTTTGCATTAAGTATGGAACTTTTGTCACTTTCCTTCCAGTAACTGATCTCTTATTTTATGCAGTGTTATGGGCCAGGGAGATGAAATTGGTATTTTGCCAAGATTCTGTGAGGAGTTGTTTGAGAGGATCAAATGTTGGAAAGAGGTAAACTTCATCTTTCCTTTTTACTTGTGGGAGGAAAATGAGATTTGCTTTTTTTAAGAAACAGTTTAAGTACCTGAAGTAGTGGACAGTTATTTCCCAATTTTTTTTTCCAGTTGTTGTTGTTTTTTTTATATAAGCATACTGCCTCTCTACTGTTGCCATTTCCCCTTTCCAATTGAAAGTTCTTAATAAATTTGGTAAAGATAAGATAGTTGTACAATTCTTTGATTTTTTCTTTTCCTTGATGTGCACAGCTGCAGTTCACAGTGGAAATAAGTTACTTTGAAATCTATAATGAGAGGATTCATGACTTATTGGCATCAAGTAAAAAGAAAGATGGCAAAAGGGCTCAGGTAAATTATAGACTGCATGAATTCTTATGACACATCAATAAAATTTGAAAAATGAATGTGTACATAATGTTTTAGAAGTACAATTTGCATCATTAGGGGACAGAAGTACTGAGTATAGATGAAGTTATCAAAATTATTACTAATAGCTTCAATACTAATAATAGTAATGTGGTAATGAGTGAAAAAGAATTAAAATAACTCAGCCAAAAATTAAACCGAGGCTCTTTATACATTTAGCCTTTCATTTAATTACAACTATATTGTCATTTTTGGCAGTTGAGGGTCAGAGAGCACCCAATCTTGGGACCATTTGTTCAAGATCTGACTACGTAAGTACCATTCATGTACCATTATATTTTTATAGCTTGTGCAGGGGCAGATCTAGGGTTTTTCTTTGGAGAGGATGCACCACTCTAAGGAATGACATCACTCACGGATGACTTGAACAAATTTTAAGAAGATGGCTTAATTATAACGTAAACAGCTGACAACACATAATAGTAATTATTAGAAAGCAGAGGGTCATCTCAGGAGCAGAGGGGGGGGAAGTGGGTTTTGCAACCCCTGTACCCCTTCCTTAGATCTGCAGCTGTTGTGTACAATTCTCTTTACATGTATTGGATAACTAGAATTTGATAGAGACACTGTGTAGTTGTTTTTCACTTTATTTATTTGTTTTGGTAAGTCTGAAAATTGTTTGTTTCATTCTATACATTTGCAATTTTTAGTACTCCCAATAAATTTTAAAGTTTCCTTTTTTCAAGTGAGTACTTCTTGGTAACTCAG